CAGCTGGAAGCGGAGCAACCCAGCCCCAGCCCACTCTACTCCACCATCTCTGAGCCGCAGCGCTCCGCTTCCTGCCGCTGGAGAGAGCCGGGGGTGGTCCTTTCCCCAACCCGAGCGACAAGGCTGGGGCCAGGGCAAGGGAAGCGGAGCGGGCTGGGGCCGTGTCGCTCCATTTCCCGCCGCCAGTGAGTGTGGGGGGCAATCTTTTCCCCGCACTCACCGGCAGCAGGAAACGGAGCGCTGCAGCTGGGAGCTGACGGAGTAGAGTGGGCTGGGGCCGGGTTGCTCCGCTTCCTGCCGCTGCCGATGAGTGCGGGCATCACTGGGGGAAGAGGTGGAATGGGGGCGGAGCAGGGGGAAGGGTAAGAGGCAAGGCGGAGGGAGTTGTCTGGGGCCCCACACCCCCCCTAGGGATGGCCCTGCCACTTGCAGGAGGGGTCGGCCGGGCGATAGGGCTGGTCACCGGGGTTGGGGCTGGGGCGTATGCAGCACGCAGCTGCTAGGGCACCGTGAAATTTGGGGCAATTTGGTGCCCCAAATTTCATGCTGCCCTAGCCAGCTGCATATGCTGTGTATGCCTAAGGACGGCCCTGGATGTGGGAGGGGAAGAGGGGAAGCCCCATCCCAACCCCTCCTGCTCTGGCTCAGAAAGGCGGCCCCCTGCAGTCGCCCTTTGGCACCTCTCCACCCAGGAGCTTGTGCCTCCTGCTGCTGCAGTCCTCCCACCCACAGGGACCTCACTCAGCACGGGGGCAAGGCAGCCCCAGCTCTCCAGAGGGGGAAACTGATGCACAGTGCTCATCTGGCCCGTCAACAGCAGATCTGGGGCTAGAACCCTGGAGTCCTGACCACACCCTCCCCCCGCTCCTAACACCACTGCTCACTCACTGTTAGTGGCTAGGTCTCTCTGTTCTCCATACCCTGGGTACCTCCTCACTGGGCCAACAGTCCCTGATTGGCAGGTAGATGCTGCTCCGCAATGGGAGGGAGGGAGTGGGTCAGGGCCACTCTGTGCTGTCCAGCTGGGAGCTAGTTAGAGCAGCCCTGAGGCTGCACAGCCTGGCACACCTGGGGCAGGTCTCAGATCTGGGCCCCGCTGTGCCAGGGGCTGCACAGGGTAAGAGACAGTTCCTGCCCCAAAGAGCTCATGGTTTAACTAGATAAAGGACGGCTCATCATTCCCTATGGTTGCTTGTGGGAGAGGCAGACATTGAAGCCAGATCTCCTGGGTCCCACCCCAGTGCATCAGCCACAAGCCCAGCTGCCCCCATCATTCTGTCTGGAATGGCTTATGAGACTCAGGGCAGGCTGTCAAACACAGGGCAGACACCCCAAACTGATGGTGTGTCTATCATTAGATTTCACCAACCAAGTTCCAAACGTAATCTCCTGGATCACTATACCAGTGTTCCCTCGGAGTCACAGACGCTCCACTCTATCTTGCCACCTAGACAAACTGGACTTAGTGATAAATGGTCACTTATACCAAAAATCACAGGTTGCTCCCAGTCCCAAGAGACCAGTCCCAGATCAATTGGTACCCTAGATCTTACACCAAAGACAACGCCCTGAAATAAACTATCTAAAGGTTTATCAACTAGGAAAGAGAAATAAGAGAGTTATATACAGGTTAAAGCAAAGCAGGTGTAATCAGAGTCTGAATGAGCTCTTCCCTGACATCTAGTGGTGAGTTGTGGAAAAAGACTTCAGAAGCTGATCTTGTTTGCATAGACACATCCACCCTGCCTAGGTGCTCAGCATGATGGGATTGGTTCCCCAAATGATCACTTGATGCTGGTGTTGGATCCCCAGTCTCCTTGTTATTGGGGCAGGAGTAATAAAGGGTTGTTATCCTTGTTGTGTGAACCTGGCATACCCCAATGGAGGGACTCACCCTCATTTGAATAGCATTTGCTAGGCAAGGGACATGGGTTCCCCAGACCAATGAATTGAGAGTGAACATAAGAATAGTTGTGCTGGGTCAGACTAGGGGGTCTAGCTAGCCAGTTAGCTTAATATCTTGTTTTTTGATGGGATCAATGTTATGTGTTCTAGGGGAAGTGACCCCAATTAGTAATTATCAAGTGATCTTTTTTCTGCTATTCATCTCCACTTTCTGACAAGCAGAGGTTATGAATACTATTCCTTACCTATCTTGCCTAATAACCATTAATGGATTTAATCTCCATTATTTATCTAGTAAAAAGCAATAGAGGGTCCTGTGGCACCTTTGAGACTAACAGAAGTATTGGGAGCATAAGCTTTCGTGGGTAAGAACTTCACTTGCATCTGAAGAAGTGAGGTTCTTACCCACGAAAG